TTCATCGATCTGGGCTCCCTTGTGGCCGTATTTACTGGGATTGTGGTAATTCGGACCGGCCGAAAATTATCACCCTTGTGGGGTTAGTGATGCTTTCTGTACTCCGCTCGTGCCAAGAACCAGGCAATAGGTTTTAGAACCGTGTAGCAGCTTGTTGTACACCACGGTCCACTATAATTCTTTCTGTGGTTGCTTGAAATATAGTAGTCTGCATTATCAGAAAGGATAAATACTGAGACTGTAATATAATAGTTTTAATTATTAATATGTGATGCCAAATCACTGACTTATGGTGAATGTTAATAATGTGAGTGCCCTTAGTGCATATCGAGGCAAACATTAAAGAATCTTAATAATGTGTGAAGGAAGCAAATTGCTTATCTGTTAGTATAATTAATGCACATGAAAACTACTATAGTTTCTACATTGTGAGTGCCCTTAGTGCAAGTAAATGGTTCAGTAACCTAAGGGGGGTTTGTATCCAAGGACTAAAGTTTAAGAGATGTCACATCGGTGTCACATCGAGTGTTCGGCTAGTAATAATAAAACAAATTAAAGATGTCAGAAATCCACGAGACGAATTTATTAAGCCTAATTAATCCATCGTTAGCATATGTTTACTGTAGCACCACATTGTCAAATCAAAGACTAATTAGGCTTAATAGATTCGTCTCGCAAATTAGTCTCAATCTGTGCATTTAGTTTTGTCATTAGTCTATATTTAATAATCAAAATTAGTGTCCAAACATCCGATGTGATAAGGACTAAAAATTAGGAGGGGAAACCAAACACCCCCTAAGACAGGTAGAAAATGAATGGTGAATGTTCTTGATGAATCTTAATCAGATTCATATATGAGTGTATCACTTTGTATGGACAGGAGCCAATTAATGCTTAGTATAACCATCAGGTACCCACTTTGTGAGAACCGAGCTAGTGCTCGGGTGGCTAGCATTGCCAGTGTGCACGCTGCTGGCGCGAGTTCAATTCCCAGGAATCACACTCGCGTCTCTCACCGGGACTAGTTCCCAATAAAATCTGCAACCTCTCTTGCGTGGAGCCAAAGGGATTATGATGCGCCCCGTCGCCTATAGAACTATGGATGGTCCCAGTGACCTCTGGAGGGAGACGGTCTACTGTTCTGTGTGTAGCACGCGTGGTGTGTGTGGGTAGCGTGGGCATGCATTCGTGTATGAACAGATGCTACAGCTGTACCTAGATGTGAGGCTTCAAAGGAAAAGGTACCCACTTTGTCGTTGAAGTGAACTGGGTAACCCCAAATCCAGAATATTGGAGCTCTTTCATCATGTTAGCATGATGTCTTTGGCTCTGCATTGTACCAGATAGATGCTAAATCAAAACTTTTTACTTTTGCAACAGCTGCTTTCTGTCAGTGGCCACCATTTAGTTTAGTTGCAATGCCTAAGCACGGCCTTCTGCGATCATGCCCTCATGTATCCAGCCTTTTTAGAACATGGATAATGACACATTTATCTCGTTTGGTTGCCATACACCTGTAACCTAGCCTTTATTAGGCCAGATTGTGTAGATGTAGCAGCAGTTTGTTTTGTTGGCTGTATTAACTAAGAGGGGCCTTAATGTATCCTATCTCTTTAGAACATGAATAATGACACATGTTTTGTTTGGTTGCCATACGCCTCTGGCCTACCTTGTATTAGACCAGACTGCGTGGATGCAGTAGCAGTTTCTTTCTTTGGCTGAATTATTTAAGAATTGGTCATAAATGATGGTGTTTCATTGCCCACATAAATACATGCTGCGTGAGATAAATACACTAACCATTAGTTTATGGAATGTTCAGATTCTGACGGTATTATCATAGCCAGGATATGCTTCCTCTGGTTGACCTGTCAAGGGTTTAGAGAGAGAATGTGAGTGACAAGAGTGAAGAATATCCATATTTTGATATCACTCTTCATAGGGTAGCTGTAGAATTCCTGGAGGAACTTAACTTACCTATCATTTTGATGCCTGAAATTCTGGATGGGGCTAAGTATCTTAACTGGCTCAGCTGTCAGCCTACTAATATGCTTCTGCAGTTCTTTCCATATATTATGCTGACAATGTGACTGCAGAATAAACCCCTGTAAATGGTATAGTCTGAATAATGATTTGGGGATACTGGTGAATATCCTGCTTTCACTTATGTCGAGATACCTAAGGTGGATCAGTGATTCAATACTATCTGGCAGAATACCTTCTGGATGTTGTAGTACCAGGACACGTAAGCTCCTCAGCTCATGCAGCGTTTCTTTAAGAACATTGTTGAACTTATCTGGAGGGATTCTTTCTCCAGATGCAGCATGGTGCTGGCATATTATTAGGCTCCTTAGATTTTTCTTCAAATCCTGGGATTCTACCAAACTCTCCTGGGATTCAACCAAACTCATGTACACCTTAAAAATATTGCTTGCCTTGACATATAGGTGTCGGACATTTCTTGGAATACTAACATGGAAATCATCTTCAATTCGAAAGTGTTCTCCATTGGAGAGTGATTCTGCCATATCATGTAGCAAGTCATGAACTACATAATGGTTGTCTAGATTAGCTGCTTCCTTAATGAATGAAAGCTGTAAGAGATCATCAATATAACGATATGCATTTTCATCTGATGTTTCCTTTTGAATGTAACCATGGGCTCGCCACATCTGTATGAGCACATCACCCCGATGTTGGTAGTTCTTAGGAAACAACGAAAAGTAAACAAAGCACTGCTTCAAGTGATCTGGAAGATGCTCGTAGCTCAATTGTAATGCTGGCATAATATCATCTGCTGTCTGTTCAATCTGCCACAATTGGAGCTGAAGGACATCTTTCCAGTGGTCTTCCTGTAGCTTCAATTTCAGTTCACCTCCTACCGTCTTAGCTGCTAATGGTGAACCAGCCAATTTCATTGCCAATTGTTCACCGATTTCCACCAATCTTGGAAAATCTGATGGTGTTGCATTGCCAAATGCGCATTGCTGAAAATGATCCAAGTAATCTTTGCCTTTCAAGCCATCTAAATGTATTATCTCTGTTGCTCCATTTATCTTTGCAACCTTTTGACTTCGAGTAGTAAGCACCACTTTGCTGCCCATACTAGCAAACTGGAGGGGTTTGCACAATGTTTCCCATTTGCTGCTCATTTCGTTCCAAACATCATCAAGCACTACCAAAATCTTGGTCCCATTCAGCTTTTTTTGAAGTTTTCGTTGAACTAGATCTAAGTTACTGATGCTGTTCAAGTCTGCTGATATGGAGCCATCCCATGAAACCCTGCTGGTACTATCTCTTTTCCTTTTAAGTCTATGACATTTCTGTGACTGTACCATCTCTTTTGTGAGGCGTTTGACACCAAATTTTTCCGAGACATAGAGCCAGGCCATGATATCAAAATGTCCTATATCACGAAAATGGTTGTATACTCTCTGCAGTAGCGCAGTTTTACCAACACCAGCAACTCCAACTATTGCTATGACAGAATATGGTTGTCTGCATTCATCATTTGTTTGTTCTAGTAGTTTCTTTAACTTCGTTTCTTCACCATCTCTACCAAAAAAATTTGTGGTACCTAGCATAGAGGTTGTTCTGCGCCACTGAAGTGCCTTTCCTGGTTTCCTATCCCTTGGGTCAGCAAGCTCTAGGAATGTTTGCATCTCACTAGCAATCTTATCAAACTTGTCCACAATTGCAATTAACTTATTAAGGTCTTCATCAGAAAAAAAGAGACGTTTCAGAATACGAACTGACCGTTTTACTGTTGAACTGCTGCTTGTGCTCGTAGAGGCAGTGGTGTTGGTTGTTGTGGAGATAGTGGAAGAGGAAGAACTAACAGTAACATAATCAGATGACTTGGCCATCACCGTTCCTATGTCTTCAGCTTTTGCTTCAAAAAAGCGATAGTTGAATAAATCAAGAACATCCGCAGCCTGGTAAGCCGCATCTTTGATACTCCCTAGCCAACATTGCATACTTGGATCTTTTGTTTGCAGGCTTGAAGCTTTGTCCAGCACGAATGGTATCTTCCAAAGATTATTCTTGAGCTTGGTTAGTTTATCCTTTGCATCATCCCTTTGGTATTCATACTGATCTTCTAGGTAAGAGCACACTTTGCTAACCATCTTGGTGATGCAGGCTGATGCCATCCATTCTCCTATTGGTATATGAGCCATGATACGCAAGATGCAGTAACCCCAATACCAATTTCAGGATTATTCATAGAAGGAAATGGATGTTTAGTTGAAGAATACTGGTGCTTTAGTAGAGTGAGACGAAGGTTCCGGAGTAAAAAGAAAATATTGTTGTCAGAAACTTCCCCGAGTTGCATCGTCCTAGAACTCTCCAATAGTTTGTGGCTTTGTTACCTAGTAGTTTAGTAAAACGCCACATGTGTTGCCTTGTTACTGCCATTTTATTTGTTGTTTACCAACTCTATTATTCTCCGCACCAATCTCTGCTGGTTTCTTACGCTGGAAGCCTGGCACTATTGATGTTGACCTGTTATATGATACTCTGATCAACTTGTTCTGTCTCATCTCTTCGTAACTAATAGGGCCTTATGTAATTCTATAGCATTGTATGGGTGTTATTCATTCTTAATTTATTTGTTGAAGCCAAGCACAAGAATCTGAGATTTCTGGCAGCTTTCTTCGTAACTCCCTAGGGTTAGTCACTGTCGAAAATTTGTTTTTCCTTGATGATTGCTGCGCCGTTAGAAGAATATGAGATGATTGTCTGCTAAGCCAACTGGTTAGAAAAACCTTAATGGTAACCTAATTTCGGTGACGACCACCGCCGCCACCATCATCAGGAAGTTGAAGATGTGATGATTTTTTTATCAGATAATCCTGTAGCATCACATCTAAATACTGGTCACATTGGCCTGCTTTAGCATATATGTATTCATCAGCAAGAATATCAGTTCACTCGTCCTGCTTTAGCTGCTTTGTGATTAAAAATGATGAAATATAGTATAGTGCTACTAGTATGCATGTTCAGTTCTTGAACATGGGAGGCTTCCTTGCTTTGGTAGCCTGCTCAAACGCATAAGCGATCTCAATCAGCCTTGGCTCGTAGCCCTTGAGCCCACCGAAGGTGATGCCGAAGGGTACCCCCTGCTCATCGTAGCCAGCCGGAACGGCGATCCCAGGTAGGCCACCGATGGCGAGGACCGTGGCTGAACTCGAATCCGGCGCCACGATCGCATCCAGCTGGTGTTGCCGCATCACCTTCTCCACGCCATTCGCCGTCAGGTCGTCCAGCTGCTGGATCGCCGCCTTCTCTGCCGAGCCTATGCCACTGGTGTTCTGGGACACCAAGAAGATGAGTTGCCCAAACTGTTTCAGCATCTCCTGCCATCCATAAGAACTCACTCACTCTGTCAGTGAGTAATTCGATCTCATACAAAATCAATCAATTATCGAATGCTAACCTCATCTGGATGCGCATTGTTGAATGCTATTACTTCAGCCAGGGAGGCAACCAGGGAGCGTGACAGATCAGACGACAAGTAGGCGTTCAGGGCGATCTTGAACTCTGCTGCTAGAGCAGCCAGCTCCCCACTGACAGTGGCGTTCAGTATCACATCCAGGTTTGCAATCAAAAGGTCCTCTGTCACAACCGCTCCATTTCGCCTTTCAATCAAATTGATAAGAAGTTAGTTAGTTAGTTACTCGCTCCCTTTAATTTTAACAAAATAAAAACAGCCAGAGTCAAGAGAATCATGCATCACCCACCTCAGTGTGTCGAGGTGCTGCTTGTACACCTTCTGCCTGACAGATCCATCTGGGAAATCGAAGAACCCATTTGGAACGCCGATTCTCTTTCCCTGCAACCCATCAATCTTGAGGAACTGCGCGTATCCACCGTCAGGGATGTACTTGGACGCTGCTCTCGTAGCCACCGCGTCAAGCTCGTCGTAGCCCACGATAGCATCCAGCACGTGGACGGCATCGGCCACTGTGCGGCAAATTGGCCTGCATTTTCCTTTGTTGTTGCTTGATTAACTGATTATAGGATTATCAACATCTATCATCAAACAGTCAATATAAATGCTTACCCAACTGTGTCCTGCCTGGGCGAGATGGGGACGACGCCGGCCCGGCTCGTCAGTCCCACCGTCGGCTTGATTCCTACCACGGAGTTCAACGAGGATGGGCAGAGTATGGATCCGTCGGTTTCTGTTCCTAGTGTCACCGCTGCCATGTTTGCCGCTGCTGCTATCGCCGGGCCCGTGCTTGAACCACAAGGGGGTGAGGATAGAACATAGGGATTCTGTGAATTCAACGTGATGAGTGCTTCTAGCATTCTATGCAATGCCATGGTTTGAGAGTGATAGTAATTCTCTAAAATTACTGAAAGAGTTGGAAAACAAAATGTGCTCAGTTCTAATTGTTTTTTTTTTTTTTTGCCGAATACAAATTTTGAAATAAAGCACCTACTTACAAACACAAGAAACCCCCACTCACTGACAAACCCAGTTAGTAAATGGTGTCATTCATAGCGATAGCATCAATGCCAAAGACTGTCTGATGCTTCCCCGCGGTGTCCACTAATATAATGTCTTGTCACAAGTTCATGGGAAGAAAGCCAGAAAATTACACAAGGAAAATTGCCACAGATCAAATTCATGTCAAAATTATTCTTGAGCTGTAATAGAAAGATCAATTTGATTTTGTTCAATGTTTGCTCACATTTCCAGCAACAGCAGTATGCTCGCACAGACCAAAAGCACGGAAGGCTTGCATATTTAAATTGCCTATATAATTCGTGGAAGGAAAGCGGAAAGCCGACAGCGCACTCACCTTGCCCTGCCCGCCACGCGCGCTCCACCCGCCGGTGCCGATGGCGCTGCGGAAGTTGGCCCACTCGTCCATGTTAGCCTTTCCGAGCACGACGGCGCCCGCGCGGCGCAGCCTGGCCACCACGCCGGCGTCACGCCTGACCACCGACCCCAGCAGCGCCAGGGACCCGGCCGTCGTGTTGAGCGCATCGCGGGTCGCGATGTTGTCCTTGAGCAGCACGGGCACGCCGTGCAGCCCGCCGCCGATCCGGCCGTCACCGGACGACAACGGCCGCCGCTCGGCGTCTGCCTGCGCCGCCTGCCGGAGCGCGTCCGGGTTGACCTCGATGACGGCGTGCAGCAGCAGCAGGCGGCTGATCTGGCCCAGGTAGTGCTGGACGAGTGCCGTCGACGTCAGGCTGCCGTTCTTGAACCCCTGGTGGATGGCGTCTAGGGTGGCCTCCTGGAACTCGAAGCTGCGGCTGGTGCCGGCGGTGAGCGCGAGGACGACGGCCGTGAGCAGGAGCAGCTGTAACCGAGCCATGCTCTCACTGTTCAGTATTCTGTCGGCGAGCACCATAATAATGGGCATATGACTCGTGATTCTGATACACGGAGTAGAATTCTGTTTCTGCTTTTGTGTTCTTCCATTTGGCAGGCCATGAACATTGGACCTATTCTATGAGAATGTTAGATTCCTTGTAGGAAAACGTTGATCCCTCTCATGAGCTTCCAAAATCTATTAGTTGCTGGTACCCCATTCCTTAATTATCACCATCACTGAGGACATGGTTACCACTTACCACAATAATCTTTTTTCTTCTTTGGAATGGAATAACAACAACAAGCTTTTCAGAGTTATTACCCGGTACCACAACAAACAAATGTAAAAAGAGATGGAGATTTAGTGATTGGTTTCTAACATATGACCTGGCTCGTGAAGAGTAAGACCAACATATGTATCTCTACCAATGTTTTCAGATCATATTATCGGGGCTAGTCGCATGACCACCGATCAGACGACTAATCGTGATTAGTCGTCGATAAGGGTCGATTAGTCGTTCCTAATCGGTCTAATTGGCTAGTCGGACATTTAGTTGTCCTTGCGCCTAGATGGCCTGATCGACCATGTATATACTATGTATATGATGTAAATATATGAGTAAAATGCACCCTGGTTACTTAAACTATTGGGCATTACCATCTAGGTACTCGAACTGAAAAAGCTATCACCTAGGTACTTAAACTATTGGGACATTACCATCTGGGTACTCGAACTAAAAAACTCCCACTTGGATACTTAAACTATTGGGGCATTACCATTTGGGTACGCGAGTGGGCCGTCGCCGCCGCTGCAGAGTGACCAGGAGCGCGGGAAAATGAATTTTGATTCTTTTTCTTTTTCTGAAAATTGATGAATAGTGCTGGAATTTGTTATTTTTGTAAAAAATAATTAAAATAAATAAATGTCAAAAAGAGGCGAGCAGGCGAGCACAGGTAGGCGGCCTCATTTTAGACATTTATTTATTTTAATTATAAAATTCATGAAAGTTCATTTATTAATTAAAAGAGGTAATTTTTAAACATACAAAAACTATTCATTTTCCAAGTTTCATATTTTTCCTAGATAGAGTACATCATGTAGAGGCTACACAAAAAATTTTAGAATTTTTGGAGCTCGCGGGCGTGCGAGCAGGCAAGCAGGCGAACACAGGTAGGCGGCCTCTTTTTGACATTTATTTATTTTAATTATTTTTTAAAAAATAACAAATTCCAGCACTATTCATCAATTTTCAGAAAAAGAAAAAGAATCAAAATTCATTTTCCCGCGCTCCTGGTCACTCTGCAGCGGCAGCGACGGCCCACTCGCGTACCCAAATGGTAATGCCCCAGTAGTTTAAGTACCTAAGTGGGAGTTTTTTAGTTCGAGTACCCAGATGGTAATACCACAATAGTTTAAGTATCCAGGTGGTAGCTTTTTCAGTTCGAGTACCTAGATGGTAATGTCCCAATAATTTAAGTACCCAGGGTGCATTTTACTCTAAATATATGTAAACATGGTCATAATAAATAGGTAAATGTCAGAGGCAAGCAACCGAGCATAGTTTGGCATGTAATCATGTTTGCAATGAATCATTATCATGGTGATTTAGCCACTTACATGTAACTGCTGCTTGTTGATGCCTGATGGTGGGTGTTGACTGCTGACTTGTGGCCTGAAATTATAAAGAAAGAAGATAATCAGTTAAATAGGCAAAATAACAGAAAAACAAAACTGTAAAGACTAAAGAAAATGTAAAGAGTAGTAGACAGTAGAGCATGGCAAAACAACTTAACCAAGTACATAAATTTAACAAATAAGAACTAACAGTAGTTTACCACAGTGCACACGGTGCACAGCAGTACATAACATAAGTAAACTAATAAACTTAAACAAGTTCTTAAGTCTGGAATGGAAATAGTTCTAAACATCCGGTCCTCCCGCGTCCGTCCTCCAGGCGTCGAGGAAGGAGCTCAGAGCGACAGAGCCTCAGGCGGCCGGAGCTACTGGGTCCCGGTAGAGGAGGAGACAGGAGCGGGCGGAGGTGGAGGCGTAGGCGGAGCTGCGGACGCCGGCGAGAGGCGCGGAAGGAGCTGCGGACGCCGGTGAGGGAGATCCAGAGAGGCAGGCCGGAGGCGAAGGAGACGCGGGCGGAGGTGCCGACGGCTGCGAGAGAGAGCAGAGCCAGAGCGGGAGCTGAAAATGTGCCGAGCGAAAGCTGGAAATGTGCGGCGGCTGCAGCTCCTTCACTAGGTCACTCACTCACTCCTCTTCTTCTTACCCTAATGGGCCAGCTAAAGGTGGGTCGAATTCTTTAGCTAGGCCGAATTCTCCCTACCCAACTAATCGTCCGGCTAGTCTGATCGGACGACTAATCGTGATTAGTCACAACTTATCGGGCGATAAGGTTTCTAATCGGTCTAAACTAATCGAGGGCCTTTATCGAGCACCTAGTTACGATAAGGACAACTAATCACGATTAATCGCGATTAGTCGTCCGATCTGAAAACACTGATCTCTACATAGGTTTAGTCCCAAGGGCCAAGGACAAAATTGACAATTCAGGAGACTAATTTGTAGAGAAAATAAAGAAAAGGATAAAAATGGTGGAATGGCAGGGAATACAAGAAACACATGTACTGAATGGTGATATTATGCGAAATCCACCATAAGTAATGGCAAATTTCTAACTTCACATGTATCGCGTAGCTCAGCTGGCATGTACGCGTGCGCGGGGGATGGTAACGTTAAGGTCTTGAGTTTGAATCTTATCATTGCCAGTTCTAGTTCTAGACACAGCAGTTACGAGGGTGCCCCCTGCACTGCCGGAGCCAAATCCACCAGTGCTTCATTCCATTGACTTTACATCACGCTCCGCCACTGGATGTACAGAGTACAATTTTGCATTTCAAACATATCTACCAAATACATAGTCAAGAAATGTAATAATGGTGTGTGTTTTTAGGATTCTGTTACCCATGTTTGAACCAAGGTAATGGGAAATGCACACCCAAACTCACACCATCAGACAGCTTTCATGCTGATGTACGTTCTAATTCTTGAACGTTGGAGGCTTTCGCACCTTGGTAGCCTGTTCAAATGCATAGGCCATCTCAATTAACCTCAGCTCATAACCCTTGAGCCCGCTAAAGCAAATGCTGAACGGAACACCCTGATCATCATACCCTGCCGGCACCACAATGCCAGGAAGACCAATGTAAGCAATGAGGGGGGTTGCGTCTGAATTAGGCGTAAGAATTGCGTCAAGCCGGTGTTGATTCATTAGCTTGACCACACCATTTTCTGATAGCTCATCCAGTCCAGCTGACGAATTATAGCCTTCTCCTTTGGCCCAATTCCAGTGGTGTTTTCGAACAACAGAAGGACTTGCTGCTCGTACTCTCTGAGCTTCTCCTGAAGTCCATTAGTCCAAATGTTTGTTACTCATTGAGCTAAAGCACACTATACGCTCTGAAGATATTACAAAATTTGTAGACTCCAATATTTAAAAATATGAATCTAATTGTGTTTGCAGTCTTTAGAACATGGGTTACTTGGAAGGAAGAGTGCAGTAATATATGGGTTGGAGCTGACCTCAACAGGTTGAGCATTGTTGAATGCTATTATTTCAGCTAGAGAACGGACAGGCGAGTATGATAGATTAGACAAATAGTTGTTCAGATTGAACTTGAACTCTGCTGTTAATGCATTAGCAGTCACTTGCTGTAATATTCAATATGCCACTCAAATTTGCTACGTCAAGGTTCTCGATCACAGTCGCTTCATGTCGCCTTCAAACAAGAGTATACGTCAAATAAAAATAGCGGAAGCTTAGGTCAGGTTTCATAAGAAATGGACGGCCATATATGTGTGTAAGTCTGATAAGATGTGGACAACAATGTTATTTATGGATGTTAGCCCACAGGATATCGGCTCAGGTGAGTCGACCACTCACCAGTCTTGTCGACCACGGCCGAGCACGACAGACGTTGTCCGACCACACACTATGGCTATAGGTAGAACAAGAGAGGGAGAACAAAGCATAATCACACAGTAGAGACACCAGCGTTGGCTGGAGCCCTGTATAGGAGATGGCAAATCTGAACTCTCTCTTTACTGAGTTGTAGTGGCAAACTATATATACAACTCTATCCATCTAGTCCTAGTACAGTCGTCATGCTGCTACAGTGACCAGATAACACAGCAGGGCTGACTCTGACGCCTGCTCCTGCTGTGGCTACAGTGTAACAGGTGAGCCGTTCAGCGTCTGTCCCTACAGCAGCTACAGTACCACAGCAGGGAGCATTTTTTGCGCCGTCTTTCCTTGCTGTGTGTTCTCACAAGAAAACAGTAGTTTATTCAATAATTCTTCCCCCTAATTCTACTGCTAACTCTTGTACCCCCTCCATGCCGATCATCTCCTTCAGCTCCGTGAATCAAAGACGGCCGAGCGGCTTCGTGAGGACTTCCGCGAGCTGCCGATCAGTTTCGACGAACTCGATGACGATCTGTCCTCCATCGACACAGCCCCTGAGAAAGTGGAACTTCATGTCGATGTGCTTACTCCGGTCATGGAGAACTAGATTCTCCACGAGGGCGATGACGGGCTAGTTATCCACCATCAGTGCTGGTGGGTGAGCTTCCGTACCGGTCAGCTCCCCCAGCAGCCGGCGCAGCCACACAACTTGATACGCCGTTATGGCCGCCGCTACGTACTCCGCCTCGCACATAGACAGTGCCACTGCCTTCTGTTTCAGCGACAGCCATGAAATTAGAGCTGACCCGAGGAAGACGAGCACACCAGAGGTGCTCCGTCGTCCGTCGATGTCCTCCGCCATGTCTGCATCGCTGAACACAGTGAGCTGCAGCCTGCTTTCGCCTGTCCTGGGGGAAACGATCCCTTGATCCACCATCCCCTTGACGTAGCGCAACAGCCGCTTCACTGTAGCCCAGTGATCCTCTCAAGGATCCTCCATGAAATGACTGACGTAGCCCACGGCGAA